TTATTCTGATTTAGAATTACGGGGGGGGTATTGAAGAGTAATTCCAAATCAGTAGTTTTTACCATGGTTAGAGTCTTTAACTGTGGTTAGTTGCTGTTTAGTTGTTTTACTGTTTTGGGAAGCAAGTCACTAACAAATTTAGTTAGTGTTGCTATTTTGGGGTAATAAAACCCTTTGTAACAGAATTAGTTCCTTAATTAATGAGAATTATTCTTTCTCTGATTTCTCTCTCTATTCCCTGATTCTCTTTCAATTTCACAATTCTCTAAAATTACTTTCTATCAAATCCCTAAATTGAAGCTCTGATCCAACACTTTTTACTCAAATTGCAATCCAACATATAAATATTCACTCACTTTCTAAGAACAAACTATATGTGATTATGCAAATTTTATTTCTTCATTAGGATGATTCTAATTAATGTATTGATAATATCAACAATCATTCCAAAATGCACTTTTATCATCTCCTGACAATAATATCAAAATGATATGTAAAAAATTTACTTATTTTAACTTACAAAGTAATCACTCACATACATACTAATTAACCTTGTTACAAACCACCAACCAAAATTGGTGTACTAATTTCACTTGATTGAACAATTGAGTCAAAGTTACTTTCAATATTTGTGTCATTTTATTTTCATAAGGAATTTCACCCTTATCAACATCATTATCACTTGTTTCTATCATATCTAGTAAATTATTATCAGAATCATCACCTAATAAAGAAATATCTCCATTATAGAAACTTGTAATATAATTAATAAAATTTTATAATATCTACCAATTATATACTTATAAAATCAATAAATTAAATATGTTGTAAAGCATTATCTGATATAATAATTATATTGCTTTGAGTAATCGTTGTTAAACTATTAATCAAATCAATATCAACATATAACTCAAGTATGGTCATTGATGATTGTTGCTTAGAAGCATTTATTATACATTAAACATCTTCATCATTACATATTTAAAATTTACTATATTTTTTTCATGACATAAAAATTCTATCAATCACACTTGGAATAATTTCATTTTAAAACTATTTTTTTTCTTAAGTTCATCATAACTAATATTATATTTTATTTGTAATATTTGTTTATTCCTTTTAAACATTAAACTTTTACTTCTTTCATAAATTTTATTTGAATACACAACTTTGAATTTGGCTTAATTTTTTAATACTATTTAATTAAAATACATTAACAATTAATATATTCAAGTAAATTTACTTAACTAAATTAAAATATTTCAAAAATTATTGACAATAATATTTTATTATGTTAATTAACAATAATAGAAAAACAAACAACTAAAATAATAACAATAAAAAATTAAATTTGAAACAAAAATAATTAGTAATAATGAGCTATGAAAATTTTAGTAACAATAAAACAATGTAAACTTAAAATTGTATGAAAAAGATATAATGAATGAAGTTTTAAAAAAAAATATGAAGAAGAAATGTATACTAGTAGATTGTTAGAGATGTTATATATATTACGTTGTTATGCAAAATAAAGAGGTGTAAATTACAATTTGAAGATATATGCTAACTTTCATAGTAGTGACATATGTCCACGGAAAAGCATCTGACATGTGGCACACACTCTTCTTAAGTGACGTTTCTTCAAAAAAGTCATTTATGTAGGAATGACATGTCACCCCTTATGTTTATGCAGTGGCACCTATTAGTTTAAATTTTTTTTCTACATTGTCAGGGGTCTCAATCATGTTTAGTGACACCTTTTTAGGAGGAATTCTACAATATCTTTTACTATTTATTTTGTCTATTCCAATAAAGTGTTTGAAAACTATACTATTATGATATTTTGTATAATTTTTGCCTAAAAAGTTTAGAAACACTCTAAATGATTGTTGAGAAAGCATAAGTGACATTTTTTTTTGTACTCGAATAACCTTTTATGCTCTAAGTCTTTAGGTCAATTTTAGTTAAGTAGTGTAAATGATAACAAAAGATGAAAAAAGCCAAAATTTTATGACAATGCACAATTTATGCCTCTACATTTGATTGATGCATGATTATTGTATCTTTAAGTAGCTTCTACTTACTTGATCTAAAGTTTGTGATCTTTTTTACAAAGATATCATGAGATGAAGTAACTATCATTTATTGACGTTTTAATCATTAGAACTTCAAGTTAGTCTTGAAAGATACATAATCTATCAATTTACTATTAAAAACATTTTAAAATTAATTTAAATATATAATTTATTATTTATTTTAATTTTTCTATTGAAACTCATTAATTAATTTTCACATGGATGATACACTAATGTATCTTTAAATATGTCAATGAAGAATATAATACAAGTTGACTAAAAATGTATACTACAATATTACTCTTCATATAACACTATTAAAAAAAATTATTTTTATGCAAAATTTTAACAAAATGTTACAGAAGAGACAATAATTAAGTATATTTTTTAATGACCTTATATTATTACATTTTTAATTAGAATAATTAAAAACACATTGGTGTGTTACATTATATGTAACGTGTTAAAATATCATCTTTATAAAAGTTAACTAATAAGTTATAAAAGGACTAAAATAAATATCATACATTCAAAGACTGTTTTAACTATATTTTATTCCTTCAAAAACCAAATTAAAAGATTTCTATTCTTTTGGAGAATGTTTAGTAAGAAAATTCTTTTAAATTTCTTAGAAATTTTTAGTTGAAAATTGTCAATTTTCATGTTTTGCTTGTTTAAGAAAATTTCGAGGAACTAACATTTTTAAGAAGTTTTTTTTATGTAAGTTTTTTAAGAAAACATTCTCATGGGAGGGATAAAATCTAAGATTTTCATAAAGGAAAAAAGTTATTTATAATATAAAAATACAATTATACATTTTAATGTTTTCAAATCAAAATCTAATTTATATTATCTCTATTTTTTTTTTATGTCTATTTAAAATTTTTATTGTTAACTCATTATAATAAAAAGTTTATTTAAAAATATTCTGATTGAGCTTTTGTATCTTATTACTTATATTAATCAACATAGGTAACTGTGTCATTTAATACTGTTATATTTATCATTATGTGTATGGATGTAGACAATTGATTTTTTATATAATTTTATTTTTTTACACACATTCTCATATTATAATTGTCTTATATTATTTTTTATTTAATTAATTTTTAAATAAAAATAAATTTAATTAATATAAAAATAAAATTTATTAATTATCATACAAATTAAAGAAATGTTTTTAAAAATAAACATTAATATTCTTAAAAAAATAATATTTAAACCAAACGAAGTAGCAAAACATTTCTATGAATCATTGTTGATCATTTCTAAGAATATTTAAGGCATATCAAATGCATTTTTAAAATTCTAAAAAAATAGAATTTCTGTAAAAAAAAAAAAAACATAATTTTCAAGAAAAAAAATTGTACATCAAAAATATTTTTAAAATTAAATTGAGATTTTAGACATGCTTTAATTGTTCTCTTTATGTTTATATATACAAGAAAAATTCTTGTCCTAATTTTATTTTATTTTATTGTCCTCCAAATTCCTTGGAATCATTTACTCTTATTGAATTTCTTCTTTTGTTTTGAAACAAAAGTTAAAACAAGTTGAATGATTAACTAAAACTTAACAGCAAATAAACCATCTTATTGGTCCTCTAACGCATAATTATGTTGCAGCTATCAAAGCGTTTCATCGTTGAGCTGTCATGTTTTTAGCCAGCAAAGACAAGTCAAATTTCAGTTCTATCAATAAATATGCCATGTGAAGAAGGTATTAAAGTATGTCATTTTCACCAATTAATAATTTTTATTTTTTTTCACATTTGTCCTCCTATTTTTATGCACAGATCAAAACAGCCAACATCCAAAAGCGCCAAAACTCGCTTCTATGTGAACAACAGAAACCAAACATGTCACATGCATTTATCAATTACAAAGTGTAGTACACTAAACATCAAACCTCTACAGTTGCCTCGACTAAAAAATGAAGACTTGATTTTTTTTTTCTTCAATAATTGTGTTTTTTAATTTTATTTTAGTCTGTCTAAATTTTTTATGATTTTGGTTCCTACACTTAACACAAATTAAGTATTTTGGTCTCTTTCATTGACATGCACACACAAATAATTAACATATATCAGCCTTGTTAGTTACATTATCATTTAATGATCATTGGGAACTGTAAGTGCTGAATCTAAAAAAAAATTAGAGACTAAAATCAAAAAGGTTTAAAGGCATTAACACTCAAAACACCTAAAAATGTATAGTGTAGAAAATATATAAGATAAAACTCAATGCTATTTTTTCTATCATTGTATATTAATGGGATTCAGATCCTCTTTAGTTGTAATAGGAACTTAACGTCCAGTTTCATTCTTGCTTAAATAAAAATAGGTCTGCTTAAACAAAAATACAAAAAAACAACAAAAAGAATTTACACATATTCCTATGACAGGGAGTGGATGAAGGCTAGGTGGGTGTGAAGGGATGAGAAAAGGCAGAGGGAAAGAAGGGGGTGAGGGTGCTAGTGGGGAGGGAAATAGAGGGTTAGGAGAGGAAGTGCAGTGGAGGAGAGGGGAGTTGAGTATAGTGGAAGAGGGAAGTTGGAGAAGGGAAGGGTGGTTGGATATGGAGAAGAGGTAGGTTGGCAAGGGAAAATTGTAGAAAGATGGAGAACGGGACGATATGGTATTTGTTTAAGCAAATTTTATATAATTTTTTTTATTTTTGTTTTCTGCATTTTTGCTTTAAAAAAATGAAACTGGAGGTGCAGTTCCCACAAAGAATATTAGGATACATATTAATGGTGCTCAAAACAATGGATTGAATGAAACCTAGAGGCAGTAGGCCACATATCTACAGACTAGACATTAGAAATAATGATGAGAGAATTTATCATAATAACGAACAAGCTTCTACAAATTAATATATCATACAGAATACCAACACTACATATATTTTAGAAAAAGTTATTGTCATATAAGATATCATATTTCAAGAGGTAACAAATAAGAAGGAAAAGAAAAATATTAAAAATATAAACACAAATGGCTATATAAACGGGAATCTGATAGCCCCAACATACAAAAATTTATAGTAGTGTAGTGCAGAAGGTGAGGAGCGTAATGAACCAAATTACGAGCGATTTCTACAATCACCTTTTTGACCTTTCAACTAGTTTTACAACATTTTGGAAGGAAGAAAAGAACACTCTAAAATTTATTAAAAATCAGTATGCAGCTTTAGAAGCCTGCAAGTTTGTCACTTCATTTCTTCCTTGATTCGTTTCGATCATTTGTCTGTAGCAGCTCACAATCTTTTTATCTAACTCGTAGTATTCTTCCATTTTACTCAAACGCTTTAAATCAAGGTCGATAAAAAAAGCCTAAAATACAGATCAAATTGCAACCAAACTAAGATATTCAATGTCACAAGCTAATGCTGTAATTTTTGTTTTTGTAGATAAAGATAAAAAGAATATAGAATCTTTAAGAATGGCAATATTGTACTTTCCTATGGCTAAAGGAGACTATAATAAACTATATCATGTAAATTATGATATGATATTCATGTTGAGAACTCTTGCTTGTTATTACTGCATTTTCTTCAATAAAAGAAATATTATTGCAATGACTCCAACAAGATATTAACAGCTATTACATCAGCAAAGTAAAAAATGTACTAAAAAATAGGGCATCAAATCATGAGTAACAAAAACTTATTCAAAAGTTCAGACATTCAAAAGGGAAACCCTGGAGGAGATCCTTTTATCAATGGAAACATAGTTAATGCTTATGCATAGGCTAATGTTTCTGTTCAATAGAATAATTCACTCATAAAGACCTGGGATGAACCACACCACTAATTGAATAGCCCAATGACTTATAAACCCTATACTAGAATCTCATATTTCCAATGTGAGACTCAAAGCCCACAACTTGCAATTGAATCTTGACAGACACAAATTTAAGTCTGATAATTTTTTTTTAGTCTCTTTTAAAACCCACATTTATTTTGAGAGCACTTCAGTGGGGATTGTCTTCAAAGTCGGTGTGACTGCAAAGTATGAAATCACTAGAAACATTTATCTTAAACTCTGACTATCTTTCCTAATTTCAACTTGCATCTATTAAACTTTATAGCATTTGTTTCTTTTAACTTTAGATACTTGGAGTAGTTGTACAATAATTTCTACGAGACCTGTTGTTGGTTAAGGTTATTTTATATCATTTTCACCAAACAAATTCTGAGTAACTGTTTGCAATAGCTTTAAACAGCACCTACAGGACAGCATTTTTTGCAAAGCCACAACAACATCCCCAAGCAAAGCCTAAAATCTAAGGCATAAGTTAAAAATGAACTGAACAGATTCATGCAAGAACTATACACTAAAAATTTCAAACCAAAAATAAAAGCTGTAAAATTTTGCTTACCTTAAAATCGAAGGCTTGCTTAGTTGACTCAAGATATACATTATTGTATACAGATCCGGAATCTTCCTCATTCCTTGGCCTAAAACACAACATCAAACTGCAGTCTTTTGCAGTTGCTGCTATCAGGTAGTCCTTCACAATTCTCAAGCTTTCATCCAATGAAGCAGAATGCAAAGAGGAATATCTTTTTGCCTGTTCTTCACTTAATTCTCCACACACCATGCACTGTTGAGAAGTAATGTCATAATATGCATGGATGGCTCCTTCTATGTCAACATCATCAAGCTTCTGAACCTCCAGGAGCTTATCAAGGACGCCTGACTTTTGAAAAGCATCGGCAGCAAGAGTAAATAAATTCTCTGTACATTGACCATCATCAGCTTGAATGACTGACCTAAGTTCATCTTCAAATACTTCAGCAATACATACATCAGTATTTTTTGCAAAACCTCCCAGTCCTCCAAGTATGAGAGAGCCATTCAAAAATACACGAAAATTGTTTTGAGGAGTTGTAAAGAGACCCTTAATAGCTTTCTGAATTCTTTCCTTGGATCCAGAGAACAGATCAAGCGGATTGTACTCACTTTGCTGTGATATCTGCTAGCATACCAGAAGAATTTCTAACTAAGATTTAACACTTAAAAATAAATGGATATTGACGGTTATAACATCAATCAAAAGACAGGAGATTAAATGTTGAGCCTAGAAAACAGGAAGTAAGCACTGTGTAGCTACTGGACCACCATAAAAGGTTAAATTTTGCAGGATGTACCTCTCCTTGATGCAATTTCAGAGCTTGATGCATTTCAAATCGAGTTATTCTCCTTTTGATGGCGGTTCCTTCAGATATGAACCTTGTGTGTGGAAGAAATCCACATTTGGGCTATTTTTTGAGGTAAAAAAACAAGTTACTGTTACAACCAAGCAAAAGAAAAGGATTGAAAGAGGAAGGGGATGTGGGTGAGACAGAGATATTCAATTTAAACCAAGGTATTCTACAACGAGAGAAAAATAAACTAAAGAACAATGATGTCTCACATAATGGAGACCATACCTTTATCTCAACAGATATACAGGGGCTAGATCCTTGAATATCTGAAATGAAACAGGAAGCTTAGTACAAAACTTTCAAAAGTCTGACAATTTTGTGTACAAGAATTACAAAACTTCAACCACTTGTTTACTAGGTCAATACAACCAGTAACAACATCGAAAATGAAAGATTAAGCATCTTAATATGTAATACTTGAATGATTAATAGCACGTTAGATTTCACCCTAAAGTAATTTTGCCTCCCTACATTACTTTTTCTTGGTAAAAGTTCACATATAACATTGCACCCACCAGTAATGCCCTTTCTTCTTCCAACCAACAGAAGATAAAGTAATCCCAGCACTGTAGTTGGGAAGGTTAAATACTAGCTCACACTTGTAAAATTGAAAAACGGACAATTATTTTAGTCTGTAGACTCTATACCTTTCTCAGTAAGGTATGATACAGCACCAACAAAGATATTTAATTTAAATAAAAACGGAAAAGTGTTAACCAGTAGAAACAAGTTCAATGATACACTTCTCAATACCATGAGTGAAGAGCGAATGATCAGACATGAGAATGCCAAAATCACAATGTGTATCAACCCGGGCAGCATCAACTCGCCACGCAGGACGTTGACTAATGACATTCTTCTCAACCAATTCAAGGAATTCCCTGGTCACCAGAACATGCATCTAAAAGAGTATCAAAGAGATATAGGTCAGGGATCACAATCAATTTCTTCTCTCTTGCAATAAACTAACCACTCCACTCTAAAAATCACGGCAATTCTCTAAACCCATTTTTATCAATAATAAAATTTGATCAGAATAGAGACAAACAATGACCATCTTAAAAAGGCATGTAAGGGGTTATTACACTAGAACCTGATTTGGGATCTCCAAGGTAAGCACACATGATTGTAAAAACAACTTTAATTCTTTTATTTACTGGGTTTCCAACACCAAATCTAGAACAGTGACCATGCAACATTGACATACCCCAGCATCAACATACTTGGAACCAAGCAAGGGCTTCATAACATGCTGAACATATAGCTGGCCAGCAATTTCCTTGTCTGAAGAAGCAATAAGTTCATGAACATCTTTCCAAAGGAGGCGTTCATATGGGGTCAAAGCTATGCCATTCCTCACACCCTTTGACTGTGAGCCACTCCTAGGAGCCTTACGTATGCGCATCACTTTCCCAATCTACACACGCACAGAGAGAATTAGAGAGAGAGGAAATATTAAGCTTGAAAAACGTTTACTTGGGGTGGTTCATCCAAGCACAATTCAGTTAAAGCAAAAGCAAAAACCCACATAAGAAGGAGAGGATCCAGTGTATGCAAGAACAAGATTAATAGCTCCTTCTCCTCTGTACACCCAGTGAGATGCATCTTCTTCCCTTAAAGTAAGTGCCATCTGTTTCAAGTGAAAAACTAGCTAAGCATTTCCTCAAACACTAACAAGACACTCCAAAGAAGAAAGGGTACCTTGTTCCAAGTTCCAACCATGACCCAGAAGAAAAAGATAGTTGGGGATGAATAAAAGAATAGAATAAGCCAAAAAGTTGACACGGGGAAAAGGATGCTATTAGATTCTGTTCTGCAAACAGTAATATTCAACAGAGAGAATAATGATCGTGGGAATGGTATTGTGTCCCTCTGACAGTGGCCAATTTTTTATGTTCGATTTGCTTATGTTACGCTTTATGCGTTGATCGTTACTCCTTGTTAAGAAAATAAAATAGCATATTATTATTACGTGGAATATGACTCTTAAATAAATCGAATTTTCAAAATCGAATCGAATCAACCCAAAATAGATCACACAAAAAATTGATTAAATAAATAAAAGTTATTAAATTTGATGAATTTTTTTTAACTAATTTTAAAAATAGTTCAATTACATTATTTTTCCTCTAATTATGTGATTTTAGTTTCCTCTTAATTGTGAAATTTCGGTCTCTAATTTTTTCTCATGCAACAACAATTGGTCCTTTCATTACTTTTTTGTCTAAAATTTAACTGGTAAGTTTAACGAGTTAGCAAGTAATATGAGTATTACTTAAGTATGAGTGAATTAAAATTGTGAAGAGAGGTCTCACATGACTTTTTTTTTTCTTTAAATATCAATTAAGAACAAATTTAAAATACTGTTAAAATTTTAACCCGTTATAATTTTTAAAAAAATTAATAATATATATTAAAAATTTATTAATCTAATTCATATATATAATCAATTTTTTCAAAAACTCTACTGCAAGTTATTTTTAAGAATAATATTTAATAAATTTAAATATTTTACTAGTATCTAATACACTAATATTAAAAATAATATTATGCTGTTGAAATCAAATTGTTTATATTGCTGCAAATTTTATTATTATAATTTTTTTTTTATATTAGATTACACTTAGTAATATTTCTTTACAGAGTTAGATTTGTTAGGGTCATATTCTCACATGTGAACATTATGAAATGGCTCTTTTAATGTCTACAAAATGCACGTTTTGGTCATGGCCTTTGGTGATGAAGTCAAATACCAGAGTCTCACCAAATGTTTGCGGAAAACAAAGCATTAATATATTACAATATGCATGTGGACCAGAATATATAGAAGGGTCGAAGCGATTTTTAAGTGGAACAAATCTTTATCATTTATTAAATTAAAATTATAAAATCGAAAAAGTAATATCATAAACGTGGAGAGAACAGGAGAAAGCACCTATAACGTCACTTTTTCAATCTTAAACTTTAAATTATGATAGAATAAAACACAGTAACAACAGCACCTAACTTTTGCTTAATATTAAACCTTATCTGATATATTAATTGATGGTGGTGAGGCATTATTTGTATAGATGAAGAATAAGACTATGTGCCAAAATCCTGTAACAATTAAGTTGACTTCGTATAAGAATAATTGAACCTGTTGCTGTGCGGTTCTTTTGGGATGGGATGACCACTCTTTTGAACCTGCTGCAATATTTCTGTTTCTGTTTTGTGTGATTCACAAAATTTCAAGTAATTTTGATATTATTTTTTAATTAAAATTAATATTTTATTTTGATATTTCTATTAATTTTTAATGTGCAAGTTATTAAAGTAAATTTTTAATTTTAATTAAAAACTAATATTAAATATACTTGAAAAACTAAACTGAATTATTTTACAATTACCTATTATTTTACAGTTATAAGGTATTTATTTTTAATAAAAATAAAAAATATAATATAAATGATACACCTTTTATCTCATATTATATGTTATTTGAATTTTTGTTTGTTTGTTTCTAATTATGTATTATTTTACAATATAATAAAAAAAATTAATTATTTTTAATAAAAAGCTTTTTTGTCTTCGACTGTGTTTAAATTTGAAAAAAATAATTTTTTTAAAAAAAGTATCATACTTTTACATCTTTAATATAAAAAATATTGATTATTTTTAAATGTTTAAACCCATTGAAATGTCTATAAGTTGTTTCTAATAATAATCTTATCTTTTAGAGATATTTTTATCAATAACTACTAAAATAGTGCTAAAATTTTAACTACTACAATGATTTCACACTTTTAATAGAAATATCATAATAAAATTAATTATTCTTTTAAAATGTGTATAAATTAAGCGTTATTTAATATAAAATAAAAATTATAGATAAAATTTTATAAAAAAATAAAAAAATAATTTTAAGTTAAAAATAATTTATCTTTTTAAATTTTAAAAAGAATTTAAAAATTTTGAAAATATAGGTTAATTTTAATTTATTTTAATATTTAATTTTTAATCTTACAAGTATTTATTAAAAAATAATATAAAAACTGTATTTTTTAAACTAAAATAACTTATTTTAAAATTTTTAAATGAAAAAACTTTTTAAAAAATTAATTTTAACTTTAAAAATTTAATTTATTTTAATATTTAATTTTAATTCTCCTAAGTACTTTATTGTAAAATTTATATATGTTTAAATATAATATAATAAAAATAAAAAAATTATTAACTTTAACTCAGCTTTTAATAAATATTTATAAATAAATTTTTTTAATAAAAAATACTCAGTTATTATATTAAAATTATAAAAATATAATAAACACTTTTTTTAATAAAATTTTACTGTTATTAATTCTTTATTTTCAACTTTTAGTTAACAAAACTCAATAAAAAAAATACTATATAAATATATATACAAATTATAACTTCAGAGAAAAAAATCACGTTTTAGATGTGTTGGTGTTTAGTTACTCCCCTGATACACGTTTTCTACGAAGCACGCGGTGAGAGAAATTTGGTGCGCCGAAATTTTTAACTCTGAAACGAAAGCAAAATTTCAATTGTTTCAACTGAATTTGTTTCTTTGACACGTGTGATTGAAATTGAAGGGGCTGAAATAGAAAGATTTGCATCGTTTTAATTGTTTTTGTTGTAATATATTATTTACGTGGACTCCCACACCTATATCTCTTTGCATGAAAATACAGTAAGTGTGCATGCGTGTTTTTTTTCTTATTTTATTTAATAGTTTAAAAATTAAATTATTATTTTATACCAAAAATATAAAAATATAATTAAATTTTATATTAATGCAAAAATATAATAAAAAATAAGATTTTAAAGTTAATTTATTTTTAAATATTATAAAAATTTATATCATTTATTTATTTATTTTTACTCTCAATTTCATTCATTTAAACAAACAAAAATAATTTTTATTTTACTTTATCTTATTTTTATATTTAAACAATACTCTTATTTTTATTTTATTTTTTTGTTACATTTTCACGATTTTATTTTATTTTTCCTCTATTATCCAAATAAACCATAAAAAAAATATTTTATTTTGACATAAAATGCAACGATAACTTCTCTTTAAGGATGAGAATGAGTTAGATTGAACTAAACCTAAAGTTAAATGAGTATAACCTATTACACAAAACTAGAGCCTAAGGTTAAGTCTATAACTTGACATAGGCCAAATTTTTTGCCTTGGCCTGACTTTTTTAGAAGCGTAACCCGACCACATGACTCAATAACCTATTTAATATTAAGGCATTCAAATAATACTACATTTAAATTTAATAGGTCAGTAGGTTAATAAGCTAGTAGCCAACAGCCTAGCAAGCTGAAAAACCTATTATTAGTAAAATAAAAAATATATGATAAGTAATTATATTTAAATATTATGTTTAGCCAAAAAAACATATACATAAATGGCTTCACAAATATTATATCTCATCATAACCATATTCAATAACTTCACAAAATTTCACATCTCAAATAATCCAAAAGGTAATATGTCTATATTATGAAATCTCAAATATTATGCTAACAATTAAGATGTTTATTATGAAAATAAAATTAAAAATAAAACTAGAACATAGAACTCAATAAACAATTGCCAAAGGCAACTTTTATTTTTGGTTTATGCAGTCATGATTTTAAAGAATTATATTAGGGTTAAGAAGTTGAAAAGTATTTAAATTAAAAAAAATTAGAATAGTAATTAAGAAAGAATGAATTCTAATAATGAATCGAGATATTTTAAAATTTAAATAAAATTTTAATTGATAATTTTTTTTACGAATTTTAATTATGGTACTCTGATAGTATAATTTTAATTATTATATTATTATAAATTAAATATTAAATTATGTTATTATATTAATATGTACAAAATTTTAATTGATAATTTTTTTACGGTAAGTTTTAATTAATACTCTAATAATATAATTATAATTATTAAAGTAGAAATACTAAATTATGTTATATATTACATTATATATTTATACATATAATTTTTTTACATGATTATATTTATATTAGATTGTTATAAATAAATAAATAAAAATTATAAAATAATATGATTATTTAATTAGGCTAGTTTATTAAGTTTAAAAAGTTTTTTTTTTAAGTTTATACCTGACCTATTTATTTAAATAAGTCTTTTCAAAAGTCTAAATCTGACCCTTTTAATAAACGAGTCAAGACAGATTATATCTTAAATATGCTAAGTTATAAGTTCCCGAAAAACAACCTAACCTATTCTCATTCCTACTTCTATGCATATTGCATCTTAAAATTACATGAAACCTTTACAATTACAAAAAAAAAAATATTTCATATTAAAAATAAAATTTATAAAAACTATGCAATAGTTAAATTTATATTTAAGTGGTTATATATATATATATATATATATATATATATATATATATATATATATATATATATACGTTTATGTTAATATTATTAATTGTAATTTTTAAATTAAATTTATGTGTTGCAAATTTCTAATTTATTATTGTAAAACTACAATAATAAATTTCAATCCGTTTATCAAAATAAGTTTATATTTTTTTTGTCTAATACTTTTAATGTTTGAAAATCATATTTTTCCTATTAATTCAAGTTAGATGGAGGGGAACTCACATGAAAAAAAAAATTATTTTAGTATTATTTTGATTAAAACTCAAACACGAAATCATATTTTAAAATTAATTTCTTTGTTAATTAATTACTTATATCAATAAATATTAACAACGCAAACTTTATGATATAATATCAATTAAAAAAATAAAATTTTACACATATTGTATGAATATTAGTGTTTTATTTGTTAGTTGAACGATTAAAAATTATTTTTTTATTAAAAATGTTATCAATACTCATCAAATGAAATTTTAATTAAAAACTATTTGTTTAACAAATTCTCTTATTTTAAACGTGAATAAAACATCAGAATCAATATAA